ACTACTACTACTACTACTACTACTACTACTACTACGGCTACGACTACGACTATGATTACGACTACGACTACGACTACGACTCCGACTGCGACTACGCCTACGACTACGACGACGACTACTACTACTGCTACTCCTACTACTACTAGTACTACGACTACTACTACTACTACTGCTACTACTACTACTACTACTACTACTGCGACTACTTCTATTACTACTACTGCAACTACTACTACTACTACTACTACTACTACTACTACTACGATTACGATTACGACTACCACTACTACTACTACTACTACTACTACTACTACTACTACTACTACTACTGCTGCTACTAACACTACTACTACTTACTACTACTACTACTACTACTACTTAGTAGTAGTAGTAGTAGTAGTAGTAGTAGTAGTAGTAGTAGTACTAGTACTAGTAGTACTACTACTGCTACTGCTACTACGACTACGACTACTACTACTACTACTACTACTACTACTACTACTACTACTACTACTACTACTACTACTACTACTACTACTACTACTACTACTACTACTACTACTACTACTACTACTACTACTACTACTACTACTACTAACAACAACAACAACAACAGCAACAGCAACAGCAACAGCAACAGCAACAGCAACAGCAACACCATCAACAACCACAACAGCAGCAACAGCAATAACACCAAGAACAACTACTACGCCAATAACAACAATAACACCAACAACAACGAAGTCACACAACCGGGGGTACGTAGGACACTGAATTCACATGCGCGCGAGCCCTCATAATGCGGCCTCGTTCGAGGTCTGATGGGAACGCTATAGTCTCCAACTTGGAACACTGATTGGGCGGAGGAGAGGGAGGAGAGAGGAGGGAGGGGGGGGGAAAAAGGGAGGAGGGTAAACTACACGGCATTCTACAATTCGGCATTGTGCACACATGACTCCCAATTGGTGGCTGATTTGATCAGCCGTTCAAGGGTTGCTGCGCTACCTACCAGAGATTAGGCCATGCGGTACACGTGTGGCACCCATTCGGACTTCGGACCTCGATTTTTCTGACGTATCTGCTGGTCGCCGGTGTCAGCATGCGCGGGCAGAAAGTTGAAGTGCGGAGTACGGAGGAGGCTTCCCTCGGGGGCGCGGGCCGCTTTGCTTAAGTGCATCAGTTGCTGCTTTGCTAAGGTTTGCGTCAGCGGCCTCTGATGCGCGAGCTGCAAAACAGTGGCGTTACTAACTCTAGACGAAAATGCCAGCGCTATACCCCAGATCTCCCTGAAGCATATGCAATGGAAGCCATTAAGGCGTCGCTGTTCTGCAACCTGAAGCCACGTAGTCGCGAGGCCGTACGTGAGCTTGCTGAGAACAAAGCTGGTGATATTTGGATTTTGCGTGTTTGGCTCAATCCAGAATGCTTCCACACTTTTGACAACACTGGGAAATATCTGCGTACATTCCAAATTCTCCTCGTTAGTTCCCGGACGGGGTGCCCATTGTCAGAGATGAAAGCCCCCAAATACACCATGCCTTCTTGCGGCTCGATGACAGACCCGTTGGGATGCTTGATCTCAGATGCCCAGGAGCTGAAACTTGTCTGCGTGGAGTTCCGGGCCGTACGATGTCCCTGCTCTCGCGACTGCATCGAAAAATCTGTGTCCACGCCTGCCGCGTTTGTACTCATAAGAAGCGTGTCGTCCGCATACAATTGGGTCGGGCCTGTCCCCCTACAGGGGGATTTTGGGCGAAAAATGAAAGCTACCAAAACAGACTCCCCAAACGTTCGCAAACAGTCACAACATAGTCACCGCATTAGTTTTTTACTGTTTTGGGATACTCCCCCTGTAGAGGGACGGGCCCGACTTCAGCACACAACCAGGCAGAGAACCAAAGAAGGCGCCAGAGGACCTCGACCCGCTCGCCCGACCGGCCCCGCGCGCGCGAGCCTTTTGCAGCTGCTGCGCCCCCGCAGGCGCGCGGGCGACGCCCCGCAGGAGCTCAACGCTCTGGCGGGGCGCACACGCGGCTCATCTCAGCTCGTCTCCTTCCCTCCCGCTCTCTGCTCGTCTCTGCTCGTCTCTGCTCGTCTCTGCTCGCCTCCTGCCTGCCCTCCCTCCCTTCCCGCGCGCGGAGGGAGGACGTGAGACGTTGTCTGACGTGTTCGACGATTCCCCGATGTTTCCCAGCCTCTTTCCAACATCTGCGCCTGGCCGAGAGTGTCCCAAGGGAGCCCGGATCGTCCTGAATGATCGCCAGAGTCCCGAGTTATGATCCGAAAACCAATCTCGGCGGCGCGCCAAGGGGGGAAGTGAAAGTGGGGTAGGCCTTCTCAGAAAGCGGCGGCTCTTCTCAGAAGCCCTCTGGCCTCACCAGAAACCGCTTCTGCCTCTGGGGGAGGCTTAGAAAGCCTCTCGGAAGGCCTGATGCCTTCTTAGCCTTCTGAGAAGGCCCGCTCCCGAAGTAGGTGGCCACATGCGAACCCGACCCTCACCCCCACGATTTCTAAGGGAAGGTCCGGAGTTCGCTCCACTCGGGAGCTCCCGAACGACGTGAGGCCCCCCCCCAGAAATCCTTGGGGGGCAGGGGTAGGGTTCACATGTGGCCACCGACTCAGCCTTTCCCCCTCGGCGCGCTGCTGACTCTGCCCCCTCGCTCGCACCAAATCCCCGGCGCAGGAGCAGTCAGAGCCTCGCTCTCGTGCCTGGGCTCCAGGACCCGGGACCTGCGGGGCAGGTGGGGCAAGCGCTCACAGCGCGGGGGCTTCCCTCGCCGGTGGATCGCCCTCTCGGCCTTGTTGAGGGGTAACGTCAGGGGGGGGACCAGCTCAAGGGTGGAAACATCGGGCCTGGGCGGGGTGGGCTATCGGGCTCATATCGGCGATGACTGGGAGATTCGGGGTCGATGCATCCCTCCCGAGCCACCCCCCCCCCGGTTGCCCATGAGTCCCTCTCCACCCCTACGTCGACAGCGGCTCGCCGGCGCAGGACCAGATGCAGATTGCAGTCATCGTGCTAATGAAGGAACGAAGGAGCCTTTCTAGCCACGGCGGGCCTAGGTCACAAACAGGTTTAAGGAACGGCCCGAAAACCGCAGCCCCGCCTGAGCCCAAAAGGGTCCTTGTTTCAGCGTCTCGACTGCATGCGGCCCTGGCGACCGGGAGGATTTCGGAGCCCCTCTCTGAAGTCTGAGATGCTCCAGGACGCAGACCCTGCGGGGTATGCTTGGACCGCGCTCGCAGGGTGGGGGCTTCTTTCGTCGGCTACTAGCCGTCTCGGCCAAATGCACCCAGGGCAGAAAATGATTTCCCCCCACGAAGCGACTGGAAAACAAAGACGCCCACCCTTCCAAAAATCTTGCAGTGCTGTCTAGTTGCGGTGCCGTCCGCCCTACCAAGTCTTCCAACCTAATCCTTGCCATCGTTCGGACGTCCACTCCCCGTGCATTGTTCGCCTTCGTGCGTGTATTTTTTCGCAGTATGAACCAGGATGCTCCTCGATGGTCCTCGCCGAAAAGAAAACGCACACATCTGAGCGATGCCAATAAACATATGCTCGGGGGCGAGCAAACATTGATCAGCGATCCATGGATTTGGCGCGCGGTCGCCAAATCCGTGGATCGAGGGAGATGACCTCCCCAAAATGCGGCCAATGCCGCCTCGTTCGGCGGCGAAAATCCGCGATTTCCCATGGAAACGAGACCCGTCGCTAATCCACGCCCCCTTGATCCATGATTGCAATCGCCTGAGATTGCGATCTGCTCCGCGGTGCCCGTGACCTCGCGCGTCCTCGCGCACCTCGGAGAGCGAGGACATACCGTGCTCGCTCCCAACGGCACAGCCTTCAGAACGACGACGACGACGACGACGACGACGACAATGCCGACGACGACGACGACGACGACGACAACCACGACGACGTTGACGACAACCACGACCACGACGACGACAACGACGACGACGGGGCCCTCCGTGAACACTCCGCAACTCCAATGCTCGCTCTGCTGGCTAAATCGAAGCCACGACCAGGACCACAAAAGCTAAATCGGACCGCAGTACATCGGGGATCTCTGAAACACGACGGCTCTGGAGGGTGTGTCGGGCGCCGCGGCCGTTCCAGAGCACTCCGGATCGCTCTGAGAGCACTCCAGAACGCTCTGCAGCGATTCGCTCTGGCCCTGGGCCCTGGGCCCGCAGACCAGCCGCATCCCAGTGTCGGCATCGTCCGCCTGGTGCCCACATGCTCTGCAGTGCACAGCCTGCACCGACGCACGGACGATCCGGTGGCGCGCCAGGGAGGGGTCGGCGCGAGTGGAGCGACGGCGGGAAGGAGGGCATGCGGACCCCTTGCAGAACCACCCACGACATCGCGTTACCATCGATAGCGCCAAACAAGGACGCTACCATGAGCCACGAGGAACGCCACGGAAGGAACCGAGGGGGGTTTCCTGGCCACGACCGGATCTCGGCCACGAGCAGGGTCCCCCAAGTGGTCCTTACTTCAGCGTCTTGACCGTACTGCCCGACGGCTTCTCAGAAGGCGGGAGGGCCTCTGAGAAGCCGCTCACTTGCTCAGATCGGGGCTCCCATGAGCGGGGTGCATGGCTGCGGTTCCAGCCGCTCGCGCTCCCTCCCGCTGCCGCCTGCGCTGCTGGCCCTCCACTCCTCCCTTCCGTCCGCCAAGCCGTTTAACCCCGCTCGCACGGGCCTCTGAACAGTCGCATCCGAGCATAGGGGGCCACATGCAAACCCTGCCCTTACCCCCCACGATCTCTGGGGGGGAGGGTGGGGTTCACTTCGCTCGAGAGCTCACGAACGAAGTGAACCCCACCCTCCCCCTCAGAAATCGTAGGGGTAAGGGCAGGGTTCGCATGTGGTCTCCTAGAGCACCCTTCTGCGCCGCCCCCTGTTGCGCGGCGCACCGCCCGCACCGATGCACGGGGCCAACGCGGGCACTGCAGCGGCCGGCCGCCAGCCGCAGCGGCGGGCGCCGCGGCTCACATGGTCTCCAGGTCGAGGGCCGCGACGCCTCGGCTGGGCGGCGCCGCAGCAGGCCCGCTTGTGCTCCGCCGCCGCCTGCTGCCGCCACTGTTCGCGTCGGCCTCCTGCTTACCTACCTCCTCCTCCTCCTTCTCCTGCTCCTCCTCCTCCGCTCCCTCGTTTTCCGTCTCGTTTCCTTACAAATAACGCATCCCTGGCACCCCGAAGCGCGTCGGGAGGGCTGGCCGGGCGTTTCGCCTGAGTCTTTCTTACCATTGATGCTCAGGGAACTTAGAATTTGCAAAGATTTTGCGGATAGATGGCGAGTCGTTTTCAAACTGAGGCCCTCTCCTAGGCACAACGCGCATTCGCCATAAACTTTATAGGACCTTCACGGATTGAGGGCGGCCCGTGTTCAGAATGAGGCTCTCACCCTAGCGCAGCGCGAAAGAATGTTGAACGTTTGCGAAAGCTTCACGGATGGATGGCGGGCCGTTTTCAAAATGTTTCGCCCTAGCGCCGCGCACATTCGTCTCAAACGTCTGCAAGAGCTTCACGGATGGAGGGCGGGTGGCTTGAAAGAGCGCTTTCTGCCGCTGCTGGCATGGGAAGAAAAGGGGTTCAACCAGCCTCCCCCCAAAACCAGAGGGGGGGTCCAGATCCTCTCCCCCCTGGGAAAATCATTCGGCGGGTCCAACCCTCCCCAAGACAAACACTATTCGGGGTCCAGAAAAGGACCCCCTGCAACGATCAATTTTCCCGGGGGGGGGGGGGGGGGGCTGGGCCCACCGACCAATTTTCCCAGGGGGCGGGATCTGGTACCCTTCGAATAATTCCCCCCCCCAGAAGGGGGTGTCCGGACCACCAAGGGTTGTCTTCCGAGGGGGGGGGGGGGGAGGTTGGGCGGTGTACACTGTTTTCCGACCCCCCCAAAACCATTTTTTGGGGGAGGGCCCCGCTGGTTCCTGAAACATGTTCTTCAGACCAGCGACGGGGAATCTCGCTCCGCGGTGGTTATCAATATATGGCTCTCGCCTTGGCGGTGTGCACATACGTTTCAAGCATTTGTAAGACTTCCACTGTTGGAGGGCGGGCCGCTGTCAAAATGTGGCTCCCGCCTTCGCGCCCCGCACGTTCGTCTTCTAAGCTTGCCAGACCTTTACAGATATAGGCCAAGTCGGTTTCAACGTGGTTCTCGCCTCAGCGACGCGAAATATTCGTGTTTTGAAAGATTGAAGGGCTACGGAAGGAGGGCGGGTGGCTTTCAAGACTTGGCTCTCGCCTCAGTGCCGCGCGCAGTCGTCTTAAAAGCTTGCAGGATCTTCGCGGATGGAGGGCGGGCCGTCTCCAAAGTGAGGCTCTCGCCTCAGCGCCGCGCACACTCGTCTTGCAAGAGCTTCACGGAGGGAGAGCGGGCCGTTTTCAACATGCGGCCACAGCTTCACGGATGGAGGGCGGGTCCTTCCCAGAGTGTGGCTCTCGCCTGAGCGCCCCGCACACACGTGTTAGCAGTTAGCAAGACTTTCACGGATGGGCGGCGGACCGTTTTCTTTGCGGCTTCCGCCACAGAGCCACGCACATTCGTATGACAAGTTCGCAGCAAGTTTCACGGATGCAGGGCAGCTCCTTTTCAAACTGTGGTTCTCGCCACAGCGCCGCTCGGCGTCAAGGTCGCAAAAGCTGGACGCATGGAGGGCGGCTGGTTATCAAGATGTGATGTGGCTCTCGCCTAAGCGCCGAGCACATCCAGTTTAAAAGTTCGCAAGGATTTCGCGGATGAAGGGCGCGTGTTTTTCAAAACGTGGCTGGCATCTCATGACAACGCGCATTCGCTTTCAAAGTGTGCAGCGTTTAATGGATTATGAGGTTTGGGCGTCGCAGGAGCAACGCTCTGGCACGAAACAGGACTGTCAGGGCGCAACCGTGGTGCTGACGTCCCAGGAACGGTGTTCTGGCACGGAGCAGGATTGTCAGGACGCAACAGTGGGAGTCCAATGAATGGTGCTCTGGCGCAATCGAAGATTATCGGACGATTATCTTCCAACGGGGCACTTCCAGGATTGAAACAAGTTCTTGTGGGGATATGTGAAAATGGAACTTGGAGGGAGGGCCTGTTGCAACATCGTTGATATTATGTGTTGAGTTTGCACTGGCCGTTCTCCTCCTCCTCCTCCTCCTCCTCCTCCTCCACGTCCTTCTCCTCCTGCTCAACCTCCTCCTCCTCCTCCTCCTCCTCCTCCTCCTCCTCCTCCTCGTCCTCTCCCTCGTCCTCCACCTCCTTCTCCTCCCCCATGTCCTCGCCCTCGTCCTCCACTTCGTCCGCCGTCTCCTGCTCCTGCTCCTGCCCGTGCGGCAACTCCTGTTCCTGGTGCCCCACTCTTCCCTTTTGGCGCGCTGCAGCGCCTGCTTCTGCGTGCCCCGGCGACGGAGGAGGATGGACGGGGATGAGAGGGGGGAAAAGAGCGGCGGGGGAGGGAGGGAGAGAGGGAGGGAGGCACACTCGTGAGCTGGCCCGAGGGCGCTTCGGAGCGCACCCACAGCTGAAGCCGAAGCCAAAGCTGCGGCGCACAGACGTGCGAGGGGCCCATCCTGCAGGCTCGGCAATCAGCACATCGCCGAACGGTGCTTCAGCCTTCCCTGGACACGGCCTCCCTACCCGGCCCTTGTGGGCTGCTGATGAGGGAAAGAAGAAGGGGAGGGCAAGCCAAGTTCGCTCGCGCCACATCTGACATCCTACCCCATCCCCACCCATTCCTTCGGGAGGAGCAGGAGGACCCGGTGAAGGCGGCGAGGAAAAGAGTGTGGGGCGGCAACGATGAGGAAATAAGGGTTCCACTAAATAGGCCCGTGCTGGTACGAGAGTGCCAGTCTGAACGACGGGGGCAAAGCACCGATCCTGACACGAGGCTCGCGCTGCAGCGGCAGCACCATAGCAAGGACCGAAAGCAACAGGATTCGAGGAAAAGATCTGAAACAACAGTGACAACAACATGTGCACTCCTGTGTTTAAACAACTCACGGGCGGGGGCGGACAACTCCCAAGCCATCTTGGCAGGAGAGCAGAAATTAGCATTCATATCAAGCTAGATGCGCAGGCGACATATCTGACGCCGTAGCCATCCCTCCCTTCCCATGCCATTGTGTAGAGCCTCTCTCTCTCTCTCTCTCTTCGCACAGTCGGATGCCGAAGAGCACAACGATCCCATGTGATGTATACTAAGGCAACGTAGTCAAGCGTTGCACATCATGGCAGCGTAGCGCAAGGCATGGCATTGCATAGTGGCACGTGACATAGCATTGCATGGCAGGCCTCTGCATGGCGTTGCACTGCGTAGATCAGCGTTGCATATGGCAGCATTGCAGAGCAAGGCGTGGAATCGCATAATAGCGTTAAGTACCATGGCTGCGTGAAAAATGCACCTGGAAAACCGGAATGTAGAACCGACAATTTGGAGATGAGGCTAGTGCTGCAGCAGGAGCACCATTCGAAAGGACCGAAAACGCACACATGAGGCCAACGCTGCAGTGTGAGCAGCACCATTCGGAAGGACCAGAAATGTGGAAATGATACCAACGCTGCAGCGGGAACCCTATTCAGAAAAACCGGAAAAAAAACTGAGACCAACGCTACAGCGGGAATTGTACAGGGCCCAAAACGCGAAAATGAGGCCAGCGATGCAGCGGGAACACCACTTCAAATCACCAAAAATGACTGGATTAGAAACACACGCACGAAAGACATACGTTTGAAATACAATTTGCAAACAAGACGTGGAGAAGGCGGGACACCTTCCGAACAGAGCCGGGGGAGAGAGGAGAGTCGCATTCATAATGTGTAGTCGTTGAATCCGCCGCCGTGCATCCGGCACGAAGTGAAGTGTCCCAAGGCTCACGCAGCACTGCAAGGTACGAGGCTGTGCTGGAGCATTCGTTTCCCATGCCTTTTCTCGGAGGTTCTGGGCCGACTCTCGTGAGTTCTGGGGGAATCCTGCGAGTCTTCTGGACGCTGTGCACGCCCCGAACGGTCCCAGAGAGCCTCGATTCGCAGAACAATCACTCAAATACACCTTCGAGGACCCCAAGACGGCCCAAGAGGCCTCCAAGACGCCCCAACAGGTTTCTAAGAGGGCCCCAAGAAGCAACGCACAGTGCTTTGCTCAAAGGCCTTTGAAGGATTTGGGCCTTCTCACCTTCTCGGCTTCCCGACGCTCCAAGACGACCCAAGAGGACCCCAACAAGAGCCCAAGACGGCCCAAGAGGACCCCAAGGCGGCACACCAGGCGCCCAAGACGGCCCAAGAGGGCCCAATGACGGCTCCAAGAGGGGTCCCAGATGGGGAACCCGAACGGACATTTCGAGCCCTTGGCCCCGAGAGGCCCCCTGGAGGCCCCAAGACGCCCCCAAGAGGCCGCAAAACTGTTCCCAAGAGGCGAAGAAGTATCCCTGATAACTCTGACCCAGAACCCAGGCACAGTGGCGTGTGTGTGCCGAAAGCCATACGATAACTGTCGAGGGGGGAGGGAGGTAGGTACGCTCCCGTGCGAGCGGGAGGCCCATGGGCTCTGCGGGCCGCACCCTCATCTGAACCAGGAGCCAAAGCTGAGGTACACAGCGACGGGAAGGGCCCACCCTGCAGGCTCGCCCAGCAGCACATCGCCGAACGGGGCTGCAGTCTCCCCCGAACACAACCTCCCTCCCCAGCCCCCGTGGTCTGCTGAACTCTGCGCCTATCCCGGCACTGCCAGTGCAGCCGCCATCCCCTCGTAGAGGGAGGGGGGGATCAGGGAGCTGAGAAACAGAACGCGCCACACAAGTCCGCACGGACTTCTTGGATCGGCGCCGGACACCCCTGCCCGAGAGCTGCGGCCAGGAGGGGGGCGGACGCACGACCAGCCCGGCCGAGGCGCTGAGCGGCGGTGCGGCTGGTGGCACAGCCGATGGTGCAGTTCACGTCGAACTCCTCGGGAACACGAGGCCCCACCGTCTCTGCGCTTCCTCGTCCTGACACTCCGTCCTTCTCGTGATGTGCGGCTTCTCCTGCTCTGGCTCCTGCTCCCCCTCTCTTGGCCCTCCCGATCCCGCTCCCGCCCTCGCACCTCCGAGCTCTGCCACAAACACATCCCCGATTCTCTGGTCCTCTTCCTCCTCCTCCCTCTCCTCTTCCTCCTCCTCTTCCTCCATCCACCGTGCAATACAATTACAGTGCGGCACAATCGGTCTGTCGACCGCGGGAACAACCCTGCACCTACCCCATTATCTTACGGAAGTAACTATGCGTTGCAATTGCTGCGGGCAAGATCGTCCAGCATACTGCTCCATCGACGGTTGTCTGCGGCCGCCGTCGATCTTAGCTCGCCAGCCCTCTAGAACAAATTGCGCAATGACGTTTCCCATTTTCATGCGCGGAAATTCCGGCCGTGCAGTTGTTTGTCATTGTGGGCTGCCACAATTTTCTGCAACCGAGCCCAGCCTTCGCACCTCATCACCTGATAGCTCAACCTGGTCGGATCATTGTTGCTGGGCCTCAGAGAGCCACCGTGCATATATCCGACCCACTTGTGGAACGGTCTGTACAAGAATGCGCATCCTACTTCTCGCTCCTGGCATGGGACAACGCAATGCGGACCCTCCTGTTCGTCCTGGAGACAATGGTGTCGCGAAGTTCTCCCGGCCTGCGCGTGAGCCCCAACACTGTGTGTACGATGGGTTGTTGAGCACCTCGTAGTTGAGATTGCTGGGCCTGCGTGAGCGTCCAACCTCCCGCACACCAGAACAGAGTGCGCTCGACGAGAATCTGAAGCAAGTGGAGGCTCCTCGCCGAAGGGGCCCTGTGGCCCTGTGGCAGCACAGAATGTTTTCAACACTTGAAGAAGGAGCGACGAGCTTGATCGATGCGCGAAATTAGTTCGCTACCATAACAGATGTCGAATGCGATCTGTGCCCCCAGCGCTTTGGAACCAACGCCCCGCGAGGCTCTGGAAATCTGCAGGCCATGCGCGTGGACACTGTGGGGTTGATTGGCCGCCGCGGTTGTGCACCAAGTGGCTTCTTCGGGCTGCACCGACCACCCGTGCTCTTGCAAGAGTAACAACCATTCCCCCGCCATGGCCGAAATAATGCCTGACGACGTCGCGAAGAGCCAGAAATTGTCCACACACAACACGAGAAATACCCAACTGCCACCGTGCAACTGTATTCAGAATGCCTGCTCCACGAAGATTTCGGCAAGAATCTCTAAAGCAAAATTGGAAATCGCCGGGGCGGCCGGGTCAACTTGCAGCAATGACCTGCTTCTGAAGATGGGCTCAGTCTGCAAGGAAAGGGTGAATTCGAATACCGCTCAGTTGCGGCGATCTGGAGTCGGCATGCCAGCAATCCCCTTCACGCCGGAGAGTGGGCGTTGGCAAATGAAGAGGACTTCCTTCAACTTGTCCGCGCCTCATCTGCCCCCACGTCCTCCTCAACCGCCACAGCCTCCTCGTCGTCGTCGTCCTCCTCCTCCTCCTCCGCCTCCTCCTCCTGCTGCTTCGCGGGGCAAGGGTCCCAGGAGAAGTGGCCACCGAGGTAGGCCATGTCGCCGAGGATCGAACCGCCCCTGTGCGCGCCGCTGACAATGACGTCGCCGATCCTTGCGCCACACTCTGGACCTTGGCACTCATTCTTCCTCTCCCCCGTCCCTTCCCCCTTCCGCTCCCCTCCCCCTTCCGCTCCCCGCCCCCTCCCCATCCCCCTCACCCCCTCCCCTCCATCTCCCTCCCCCCCTCTCCCTCCTCTCCGATCTGCTCCCTCCCTCTCCCCTCCCCCTCCGCTCCCTCCACTCCCTTTCCCTTTCGCAGTTCCTCTCCATCGCCCGCTCTCCCGCTCTCCTCCTCCCCCTGCCCCGTACCCCCTCCAACCCCCCCCTACCTGGGTACGCAGCAGGGGGGAGGGCTGGGCCGACTCAAGATGCCCAAAAACTTGCCCTCAGACCGGGCAGCAACATCTGGCTCTTTCAACCCGACTCTCTCCGCTGAAGCTGGCGCCAACAGTGGGGGAGGGGGGCAGCAGCACGAGAAAGGCCATAAAAAACATGATTGCTCATAGCTCCGCAGCAGCCGCAGTGTGCCCGCAGCAGGAGGAGCACGGGAGAGTGACGAACTGAGGAGGGGGGAGAAGCCGTGGGGGAAAGCGAGGGGAATGACGAGCGAGCCTGCGGGAAAGCAAGGCCTCCGCTCGCACACTGCACGTGGCTGCACGCCCGGCACGAGTACTGCGGGTTCGTGCAAGGACGACTTCGGCGCTGGTCCCTGACCGCCCTCCCTGACGCGCGGAACGCGACAGGGGCGGCGTCGAAGGCGTCGCCAGGGGCTCCGATCCCAGAATCCGCGCGGAGCTCCGAAAATCTATGGTCAACACAGGTTTTTGCTCTTCGAACCCAGGTCGATCGTACCGAAAAATGCCGCGCGCCCGAGAAGCCATGCTTCGCTTCGGGGCGGAAGAACCCTCTTCGGGTTCATGTCGTGACGGCCTCGCGGTTGGTCTCTGACACCGCGTGGATCGTTCCATCTTAAACGCTCGGCGGTTTCGCGATTGTCCGGTCGCCCCATACTGGCCGATTCTTGGCCAGCAGCGGCGTGCAACAGCGGACGCCCGGACGCCCGGGGCGCCGCCGCGTCGACACGACACGCAACTGCCGTGCAGAAGCATGGGCGCCGCAGCACCCCGCCGCTGCGGCTAGGAGCGAAGGGGCGGGCGCGGGGTGGTTCGCGAGTGGGCCGCGGGTGGGTCGCGGGTGGGTCGCGGGGTGGGTCGCGCGGGATGGGTCGCGGGGTGGGTCGCCAGTGCGTCGCGGGGTCGGTCCGGGGTGGGTCGCGGGTGAGTCGCGGGCGAGGACGACGACAACATGCAGAATCCGCGCCGCGAAACCCCATGTCAGCCAAGCACCCAGGGACGGTGCAAGACCGTTTTGCCGCCTCAGTCTGACGATGCTCAAGAGCAAGTGCTGTCCAAAACAAGCAGCGGCCTCTACACGGCAGGCGTCGATTTCGTCTCAGATGGACAGAGACCGCGGCGGCACCGACCGCGAGTCCTGCTCTAAAGGGACAGGTCAGAACTCGTCCCTATTCTGTCTGCACGCATTTCGACCGTATACAGACGAAAGATACAGCGCCTACGATGAGGCACGGTTCGCACGGAATTCTTGGATCGGCGCCGAACCCCCCTCGTTGGAGCGCGGAGCGCGCCAGGGGCGGCGCCAGAGGCGTCCCCAGGGGGCCGATCCAAGAAATCCGCGCGGAGCTCAAAGCATGTTTGGCTCCTCGAATCCATGTCGGTTGGACGGAAAGAGCGCCCAAGAAGCCCTGTTTCCGGGCCAGAGGCGGCCCCTTCGGGAGACGACCTGCTGGCGTTCGGTGGGCACCACCAGGTCAGGGATCTTCTGACCGGGGTCAATCCAGACCCAGGTCAGTCAGGCCTTGCAAACTCCTGCGAGATCCTGCGCCCATACCCGGGTCAACGTGAAGGATCCTGCAAGATCCTGCAGGATCCGGCACCCAAGCCCGGGTCCATGCGACCCTGGCCTCTGCAGGATCCTGCAAGATCGGGCGCTCTGGCTCACCCCTGTTTGCCTCGACCCCCGTCTCCAGGCTCCCGACCAGGGCTGCGAGCGACCCAGCCGGTGCCTGCGCTCACGCGGCGGGCCTATCCCCCACCGCAGCAGCGCCCCCCCCCGCCTCCAGCAGGAGGGGCGCAGGGCGGGGCCAGGCACGGGCGGTGGCCGCGCTTTCGCGCGAGGGACAAGGAGGGGAGAGGCCATGCTGAATCCAGGGGAGCGCGTTTCTAGATTTTCGGCGATAGTGGGCCTTATAGGGGGGGGGAGGGGACGGGGGGGGGGGAAAGGCGTTACGTTACAGGGGGGGTGGGTTCGGGGGTCATTATGACCACTGTGCCCCAAACAATATAGAAACACGCTCGGGGGACCCTCTCTGCCCACCTTGACGGGGCCATCCGCGCCATGTCCAGGACTTCCCAGGCCGTCCCGAAGCTATCAGAGGATGTTCTGTGGCTACTCCGAGGCCATGTCTGGGGCCACATGGACGCTGGAGAATGCAGCAAGGGCCGGGGCAGAAAATGTAGACCTAAAAAGACACGGCGAGAAGAACGCCGGTTAGCACAAAGCCGCCTAGCGGAAACAACACGGGCCCACCAAAAGAGCGGTCACGACACCCTCGCCAGAACCGAACACGAACAACTCGCTATCAAACCTCGAAAGCAAGACAATATGGCATGTCATGGGCAACGGGCAGAAGGCGCGCGGTCCTCTGCACGATCCATACCTCGCGGCCCTTGATCACGTGGAAATTGTCCTTAGGGGATTTTCTTCCTCACTCCCTCGACAGTCCAAGTTCCGCTGGGTAACTCATTGGCTTGAGTTGGAGATATCGCAATGAGTTCTCGCTCTCCCGATTACCATTGGAACAAAAAATCGGTAGGAATGGGAGGAGGGGATGACCCTGACTTGCTGGAACAAAGATCCGAAGACTTAACGATCGCAAGCCAATCTCAAATATATGGTACCTCGCTAGTCGACTATCCCCAAGTTCGTGTGGCGTGCCACAGGGGGGTGGGCATAAGACATTAGAGGCTCTCCGCGCATCTTTCATTTTTGATTTTTGTTTCCGTTCCTATTGCTTCTGAAATGCCGGTCCAAAGTCAGATCGCGGACGAAGGCCAATCCGCCAATCCGCACACCGCAAGCCACTCTGCATCCCCCAGAGCCCGCTGCACCTGACTGCAGCTTGTCAGCTTGCTGACTGGCCGCGGCGCTGTCGGTCAGCTCGGGGAGATGAATGGAGACTACACACTGAAACTCCTGCGGCTTCTGGGCAAGATTGTTAAACGCCTGTCCATCCTCAACTGTGTACGCATGTGTGTGAGAGTACAGATGTACACGGATGCGAATGCAGATGTGCACTGGAGCGAGTTTTTTATGTTCGGCGATGACGGGCGTCATTGGGGGGGGGGGGCGAGGCGGGGGGATGACGTAACGCCCCCCCCCGCCGTGTGGCTCCGGCACCGCAGCCGCGCCCCGCGCGCGCGACGCGACGAGCGACGAGCGACGAGCGACGAGCGACGACGATGACGACGACGACGACGACGACGCGAGCAGCATGTAAGTGGCGATATGCCCCACTGCGCCTGTGTACAGCTCGCGTGCACCACAACGCGCGCGTATGCCACAACGCCTGCGCACACCGTAACAACCGTGTGCAACGCAACGCCTGCGCACACCGCAACAAGCGTGTCACACACCGTAGCAACCGAGTACACCACAATGCTTACGTGCACCGCAGCGCCTGTGCACGCCACAGCGCGTGTCTACACCACAACATCCGCGTGGAACCCAGCGCTGGTTACACCACAACGCTGCGTGCGTAGGACTGGTAGAAGGAGCATGTACGTGAGGATTAACTGCGGAGGACAACTATACACCACGCCAGGAAAGTGCTGCTAATCGAATGCGACGTTCTTCCCTCCTCCCTCCTTCTCCACCTCCACCACCTCCTCCTCCTCCTCCTCCTCCTCCTCCTCCTCCTCCTCCTCCTCACCCCCTGTCGTGCGGGTTGGCGCTACAGCGCACGTGCGCATCTCAGTGCGCACCGCAGAATGGTCTATTGAATCGGTCCACTTGATTCTCGGACGGCCAATCTAGCTGGAGCCTCTTGGGCGCAGATGGGAAGAGTTAGGGTGATGCGGGCGGACTCGGGCGGACTCTTACATTCCAGCGGCGCTCCGTTGTCCATAGGACTTATTTCATATTGTTTTCGGTGGAAATCCGCAAGCGTTCCATTTTGTCATAAGGATTCGTTAAAGCATTATATATACAACAGTGGTGCTGTGTTGCACACGGTTGCTGTGGTGTACACACGCGGTGCACACAGGCGCCGTGGTGCACAAAGGCACTGCAATGCACGCAAGCATTGTGGTGTACACTGGTGCTGTGTTGCACCCGGCTGATGTGGTGTACGCAGGCGCTGTGGTGTGCACAAGAGCTGTTGTGCCCGCAGGCACGGTGGCACAAAATGACGATGTGTTGCACGCGGCTGCTGTGGTGTACATAGGCAGTGTGGTGTACACAGGCGCGGTGGTGCACGCAGGCACTGTGGTGTACACAGGCATTGTGGTGCAAATCGCCACCTACATGCTGGCGCTACCCGTCCATTCCCAGACGCCGCCGGCGCGAAACGTGACGACATCGACCCCCTTCCCCCCTACATGGTTGCCGTCATCGGCCCAGAATAAAAAAACAGGTTTCGGCCGCGTCCGCGCGCACGACGACTACGAGCGACGAGCGACAAGCCACGAGCGACGACGACGACGACGACGACGACGACTGCGGACCAGACTTCTACGCGGACTCCTACGCAGACACCTAATTACGCGGATCACGGCGGCAGTACCCGGAGCGCACTGGGGGGGGGAGCGTTGCGTCTTGGGGGGGGGGCGAGCGGGGGCCATGGCGCCCGTCATGCCCCAAGCAAGAAAGAAATCGGCCCCTGAGAGAACGACAGAAAATACGACTCCCAGCCTCTGGGGTATCCACTGGAATCCCCACTTCAGTGGACAGCTGGCTGCAGCGCTCCCCTCTGCAGCCTCCGAGAAGGAAGCTATGAGCACACCGCGCCTCACAGCCTCGGACCTCTCGGCAAGGGTTGCTCGAAGGCCTCCGTGAAATAATCATGCGATACTGAAAAACTGGCTGCTTAGCAAGGTTGATTCACGCCTGCCCGCCTGGCAGCGAAGAGAAGCAGAGCGCGCCTGGCTCCAGTGCAGCGAGGGTCGTGAGGACATGCGCCGCGCGTTTCGGAACAAATGCTGGCAGACCAGCTATCCTCGCACCCCTTCCAACCGAGGTCTGTGTCTGCCCCGTGTACACCGTAAACCTTGTTCTTGCAGCCGGTCTCGCTGCCCAACAGTGGCCTGTCCCTGCACGCACGTGCGGCCTCAATCATGCAGTTGCCGCAACTCTTGCGGCAATTCTGGAGCATGAACTCTTTGCCGTGCGCCCCGCCGAGATGGCCCGTGCAGCAGTAGCCGTCATCAGCCCAGCCTGGACAGTCGACTACATAGTCAGGGTTATCTTCGCACTGGTACGCGCCGTAAAAGTGAGGGCAATTTGCGTGCATCCATTCCGTGTACAATCGATTGCAATAGCCTTCTGCCTTCCAGTGTTCGCATCCGATGTGGAGGTCTGCACAGAAGTGGGTCGGGCAACCGTACCAACGGTTTACGGTGAGTATGTCGCCTTCCGATAAATACTCGCGCTGCCCAACCTTTCAATTTCCGAACACGTCCTTCGCCTTGATTCCGATGGTTTCGAGGCCCCAGTATATGCAACCAGCATGGGGGCCGTAGTGCACGATGGACGCCATGTCATAAGTAACACCGGCTGACACGTCACCCCAATCGTCTGCAAACTCTATCCACGGCTTCCACCATTCATCTATGTCGTCGTAGTTGAAATAGATGTAGTTCGCAGCCTCTGGGCGGTTGTGTTCGTGGCGCAGGCCGATCGTGTGCCCAAGCTCATGGATGACAGTTCTGACATCGCAGCAGCCAGTGCCCAAGTTCAGATTGTGCGGCCAGTGGGTGATGCAGCTTACCTAAATGGGCAAAACATCCATCGTCGCTGGTTGTGCAGCTTACGACTCCCTCGCCTGGCTCAGCCCGGCCAGCGCTCAATGGCGCCGTCGTGCGGATCGTACGCTGGCGTATCCTCAAGCAAGCGTCTCGCGCTGCTTGCTCCGCGCGCCCAGAAGGCTCTTCGCGACCCTAACAAAAAGCTCCCTGTCGGCCTGCAGAACGTCCATCGCGCTCTGCCTGGAAGGGGTCCCGCACCATGTCTCCCTCGGGATTCGCGCGCGTGCTGCGGGCCCGGCGCGTGCCGCTGCTGCTGCAGGGCGGCCTGCCGAGAAAAGGGGCTCGTCCCCAGCGCCTGGCGGAGAACCGATTCCGGCTTCGCCGCTGGCCGCGGGGACCCTCACCTGCATCACCAGCCAGACGGGCATCGGCGGCGGCCCTCTGGACGCATCTCCGGGGTAGGCCCAGCCCATTCGCCGCACAGGCTGCGGCCGACAGCAGAGCAACGCAGGCCAAGCACGCCTACGCGGTGGCGCGCCTCGCCCCCGCGGGGGCCTGCGCTTAGGCCTCCTCGGCGAGCAGGGGCGCGTCGCCCTCCAGGTCCGGCCGCGTCGTTTCGGCCATGGGGGCAGGGCCTCGAGTGGCACTCTTCGGGGCTGGCTCGGTCGGGCGGCCTTTCCGCGCACGACAACTGCCAGCGGGCTGGACGGCGCGCTCCTGCGACAGTGAAACCTTGAGCCAAACTGGCTACGGAAGGCTCTCCTTGCATCTTGGGAACTCCAGGGTCGGCCTGATCCTGTTCGAGGCAAGAATCACCCTGCCTCCTCTGCCGAGCTCCAACAAGCCTCTGGTATGGCTGCCTGTCCTCATCTATCAAACCATGTGGACTTCCCTTGCTCCAAATTGTATTACATGGGCTGTGGGCTAGACGTTTTCGGCATGAAGGCCACGTTCTGTCGGGATGCCTTTTCACGGCCTGACTTCTAAAATTCCACTGAATCAACTCGTGGGATCATGGGATCTCGATTTCTACAAGATTGTTTCAGAGGCAGGCAAGAGGACGCGAAGACGATCCAAGAGAGTGCCAAGGCAGCGTCAGAAAGTCCAACGCAATTCCCGACATATTTTTGCATGTGACCCCGATATCTTGATGGAGCCCCAGGAAACGGATAGGGAATACAGGCGGGTTATTGCGCACAGGACGCGCGACAGGACACAAGACTCTTCCGACGGCAACATGGCCTCCAAAACCACAGGACACAAGGGTACCCTGCCGAGGCCGCGACCGCGGTTACCCGCGGCCGACCCGCAACCCCGCGACGGGCGGCGCACGCCACACAGGACGCCAATGGTATCCGACAGGCCGCGCCGCTCGCCGCGTGAGGATCTTGCGTGGCGTGCCGCCCGCGCCTACCCACCTTCGGGGGCGATCGCGCGACCCGTCGTTGGTTCACAAGCGGCGCGCCCGAACTCAGAGGACATCGCAGGTAGACCCTTCGCCGCGGCGCCAGCGGCGCGGCGCTGAAACCATAATCACACCTTGAAGCAACATGAGCCCCCAAATCCGAGAGGACGCCAGGGTACCCTGGACAGGGGCCGCGGCCTCCCGCCGGCGCGACGCGCTGAGACCGCCGCGGGCCAAGCCAAGGACACCCGCGGAAACCACAGGACGCAAGGGTACCCTGCCCTTCGGCCGCAGAGGACACAACGCGCGATGCACAGGACACAAGACACCCTTGATTTCGCAGGGCCGACCTACTACTGGAACCCGACTGTAGGAGTCCCGATTTTGGAAACGGAGGGGAATCTCTGGAATTCCTTTGTTTGTCAAATTCCTCGGTCGTGGAGCGTTGGAAGCGGGAAAATGTGAGAAGGCGAAAAGCGTTGACAAAACCCACTGGAAAAGATCGAATTGACCATCTTCGGGCTCTCTCGAAACGGCTCTCGAAGCTCTCTTGGGCTGTCGTCGGGCATTTTTTGGGAGCCTTTCAAGGGTCTGGGGTGTGTTGGAAGCCTCTGGGGGGTCCCGGAGTCCTCTCGGAGGTCTCTGGAGGCCTCCTGCTCCCGCTCTTGGGTTCATCTTGGGCCTGTTCTGGGGTGGTATGGAGCTGTCCTGGGCGCTTCTTCGGCAGTCTTGGGGCCGTCTTGGCACGTTTTGTGGCCGTTTTGGGTGGTCTCGGGGCGGTCTTGGGGGCGTCTTCGGCCGGTTTGGAGCGTTGGAAGCATGAAATAATGAGAAGGCCAAAAACCATGAACCAACAAAAACGTGAAACTCAACGGTTTCAGGTTCTCCGGGTGCTCCCGGGTGGCCTCTCGGAGATCTCTCGAAGTCTCTTGGGGGCCTCCTGGGGGCCTGGAGAGCCGCCCGAAAGCTATCCTGGGTTGCTTGGGAGCGTCTTGGTCCTTTCTTTGACGTTTTGGGGGCTTCTTGGGATCGTCTTAGCTGCCCTTGGGCGTCTTGGAGGCCCCCGGGAGGTCGGGCAGCGCGGCGCCAGGAGCGCTCCGCAGATGTTCCGGGGGTGGGTGGGACCCACGAAGCATCGTCGCCGACAGCGCGACGAGAGGGACGAGAACCATCGGGCCGTGAGGACACGCTCTCGACTGCGGGCACCCCAACGATGGGTGTGCCGCGTGCAGCACGCCTCGCGCTCCGCCGCGAGCGACAGGGCGCGCGTGCCGCGCCTGGCGGGCGCGCAAGAGTGGGCGGGCGGGCGAACCGCAACGCATCGCGCAACTCCCTCTCTCCCCGCGTGCCTGCCGCGGGGTGCGCTCGGGGGTCGCGGGTCAACTCGCTTCGTGACTTAGCGCGACTCGCGCCTCGCCGGTGCTACCCCTCGAGGCATCGTCGCCGACAGTTCGACGAGAGGGGCGAGAGAGCCATAGGGTTGTGAGAACACGCTCTCGACTGCGGGCGCCCCGACGAAGGGTGCGCCGCGCGCGGCGCGCTTCGCCCGCCGCCTCGCGCTCCGCCGCGAGCGAAAGGGCGCGCGTGCCGAGCCTGGCGGGCGCACCGCGCCCAATGAACGCGAACGCAAGGCGCAGCCGCACGCCGCGGGCACGCCTCGCCACCCAATGCGACGCGCAGGCGGCGCGCGGCGTGCGAGGGTCTTCGCGAAGAGAGCGCAGGGTGTCAAGGTGTACCTCGCGCGCCCTGCTGAAAATGGCTTCAAAATCGCAGACCTCGTCTTGCGCGATCTCTTCGCCGATTCCTGCGCGGGCAAGCTCGCCGACGGTTGGTGCTCCCGAGCGAAAAACCTCAGTGCAATCCGCATCTGGGCGCGCGGCCTGGGCCACCAACTCTTCGAGGAACGGGCCGTTCACGGCAGCCGAGACTTTGCGCACTTGCGGGTCGCAGCCCTGCAGCCACGCTGACACTGCGACGCCACTAACAAGCTGACGGCCCCGCGCCTCTATGCGGCGCGCGCGTCGCGTTCGCGCATGATAGAACCAGGCGAACGCGCGCGCCCTTTCGACGGCGGCGCGCAAGTTGGGCGCCAAGGCCGCGCCCGTGCCGCCAGGAAACGGCTTCTTTGCAGCAGACTTCGCGAAAACCACCTTCGGCTGGTCAGCTTCCGCCACGGATGCCGCCGCGCATCCCTGGAGCGATTTACAGAATGCCGGCGGCGGCGGCGGTGGCGCCTTGATGCGAGGCCCACGCGCCCGCTCAGCCTGACGCGCGACGGAGAACCGCGACACTCCAACGGACTGCGCCCAGCCTGCCTTCCCGGGCGGGTCGGGCGACGCTGGCAGTCCACCGCTGCGCCCCGGCTGCACCTGCCACGACGCGCGAGGGGGGGGATCGCGCGCCCTCGCGCCCGCGGCGCCCTCGCCTTTGCGCTGCCCCGCTCGGGCGGCGCCGGCGCGGGGGGCGCGCATGGCGCCGTGCGCCGGCGCCTCGATTGCAGGAGCCTCGGATCCCTGGAGGAGTACCTGAGGACGAGGGAGAAGGAGAAGGACCTGAGGATGAGCCAGAAGGGCGCGTTGCCCACTCCCCGCGCGGGTCCCCGTGCCCGGGCGTGTCGAGGATCGTGCCTGCGGGGGGCCCCGGCGAGGGGCGGCCCGGAGGGAGCCGCGCTCGGGAGCCCCATGTCCCCGTTCTCTTCCCTGTGCCCCCTCCTCCGCCTCCTCCTGCGTCTCGTCCAACTCCTTCTGCTTCTCCACCCCCTTCTCCTCCTTCTCCTCTACCTTCCCCGCCCTCTTCGTCCGCCCTCCCCTTTTGTCCTTGCGGCGAACTCCTCCCTGTCGTACCCCGAGGCCGTCGGAAGGTCGGGTTGGGCGTATCGCTTATGATTTCTACACCATTTATCTACGACCCTGAAAATTCAAGCACCTGCACCAGCTTCACGGATGGAGGGCGGGTCGCTTTCAAAATGTCGCTCTCGCCTCAGCGCCGGTCATATCCGTTCTGACGAGTTGTAAGAGCTCCACGGATTGGAGACAGGTGGTCATCAACATGTGGCCCTCGCCTTTGCGCCGCGCACATCCGACTTGAAACATGCAGAAACACTTCACGGATGGAGAACGGGTCGTTTTCAAAATGTGGATCTAGCCTTAGAGCTGCACGCATTCGTCAAACCATTATAAAAGCTTATCGAATGGAGGGCGGATCGTTTTCAAAATGTGGATCTCGCCTTAACCCGCGCGCATCCGAATTGAAACATGCAGAAAAACTTCACGGATGAAGGGCGGGCCGTTTTCAACATGTGGCTCTCGCCTTAGCGCCGCGCACATCCGTCAAAACAATACAAGAGCTTGACATCTGGAGGACGGGTCGTTTTCAAAATAAGGCTCTCGCCTTAGCGCCGCGTGCAATCGTTCTAAGAGTTAAAAACTTGCAAGGCTTCTCACGGTTAACGTCCCAGAATTGGCGTTTTGGCACGGTGTCGGATTTCCAGGGCGCAGCAGTTGCATGTATTCGTGGCGCTGGAGTCCCCAAAACGGTGGCCTGTCACGATCCAGGATCGTCATGACGCAACAGTAACGGTGATTCGCGGCGTTCAAGTACCAGGACTGGTGTTCTGGCGCAGTTCAAGATTTCCAAACAATTGTTTTCAAACGGGGCACTTCCGACAGCGAAATTGAATCCATGAATGTGGCCTATGAAGAGGGAGCCTGGAGGGAGGATGCATTGCAATATCATTGCTGCGTCTTGGGTTTACACTGGTCCTCCTCCTCCTCCTCCTCCTCCTTCTCCTCCTCCTCCTCTTCCTCCTCCTCCTCCTCTCTATTCCCCTTCTCTCACTCCTTCCCCTCCTCCTCCTCCTCCTCCTCCTCCTCCTCATTCCCCAACTGCGTCCGCACTAGGCGTCACTCATCGGTGCTCCAGAAATACGGACCACCTTGCTTCACTTGGGGTGGGCGCAGCTGCCACAACGGAACCCCGCCAGCAGACCTGACATTCCCCTGTCACTCCTTTTGGAACAAGTTGGCAGCACCGTCGAATGAGAAAAATGACGAGGCGCGTCCTTCTCATCCCGATCCCCTTCGCCCCGTCCCGTGCTCGCTGCGTGGCAGTAAAATCGTGATTGAACCGCCGTGCCGCGGACCGCCGCACACTGGCGGCCGCCGCCAAAACTCCTGGAAGCGAGGGCCAAACGACTGCAAGACACCTAGCCAGAGAACACTGCTTGGGGAAATACTTAAGCGGAAACGCTGTCGAGTTGAGTGATATCTCTCCCACGCCTGATAACCTCCCACCCAGTTGCTGCAGCATTCGAATCGTCGACGATGGTCAGGTGCCACAGGCGCGTGCGGTAGACTACGAGCGACAGCGAACGAGCGATAGCGAAACACTGTTGTCAGCTGCTCAAGCGACAAATGCTGATTGAGGCGATCGGTCATTGTGCAGCAAGGTCGAGACAACGCACTCGCCCGTGCGCAAGATTTCGCTTGCCCCCTCCTTCACCAATGTGAAGCGCCTTTCCTGACGTCCGTGCCTCTCCCTCGTCCTCCCGCCCTGAATCCCGCCTTTCCCCTCCTCGCCCCCCATCTCTTCCTGCCCTGCCTTCATCACTGCCTCCCTCTCCCCTCAGTCTCGCCCTCTGCCTCCAAACGAAGCTCGGCGGCGAGTCCGGGAGGGAAGTGAGAAAGGCGGGCCTTCTCAGAAGACTCGGAAGTCCCCCAGCCTTCCTCCTCCCCCTCCCCTCCTCCTCCTCCTCCTCCTCCTCCTCCTCCTCCTCCTCCTCCTCCTCCTCCTCCTCCTCCTCCTCCCCCTCCCCCTCCTCCTCCTCCTCCTCCTTCCGATCCTTACCAGAAGACACAGAAAACCTCTCACAAGGGTCGAGCCCTTCTGGGAAGCCCCGCCGCCCCGTGAGAAGGCCTTCGAGGAGGCCTGCTCCTTCTCACCGTCCCCACAACGCCGACGGCGCTGCCCGACCCCAGGCGCACCGATCTCAGACTTGACGGCATCGGTGACCATCGAGAATACCTGCGGGAGCCTGTCGCCATAGGTGGCGGGCGGGGCCTGGCTGGCGCAGAAGGAGGGCGGGCCAGAGGCGCTGGCCTCGTATGGGTTCTACAAGTCAGTACCAGCATGGGTGAGATCTAAGGGCGCGCGGGTCCGATTCAACTGGCGGGGAATGGCGAGACTCACAGATGAAACCTAAAAATAAACAGACGTGAGTACATCACCTCGACCTCCGATCTTATCTCTTCTCTCATTACTTCTGACTCATCTCTCCTCGCTCAGAAATCCTCCAGTTCTCGACTCATGCCTCACTCCTGCAACCAGTTTCCCTCCCCTCTCGTATCTCTCAGCCCTCACCCCTTTTCTGTCCTCTCTCACCACTGTTCTACAACTACTCTCTCATCACTCTGCACTCCCTGAGCGGCTCCGCTATCATCTCTCGTATCTCCTATCTCCTCATCTGCTTCCTCCTTCTCCTCCTCCTACACTTCTTCCCCTAGAATAACAGAAAACTGCATACGAGAATTCGCTTTGCCGTTTGGCGCGCACTTCTTAGATGTGCGCCGGGCCCGCTCCCTGGCGCAGCACGCCAGGGGCGGCGATGGAGGCGCCGCTGGGGGCCCCAGTGCAGATCCAACAAATCCGCGCGGGGCGCCACAGCACTCCCGGCGACGCGAGGCGCCGCCTGGGATGCCGTGGGGACCGGCGCGAGGCGCGTGGATCGGCAGGCCGGCGCCACCGGTCTCGAAGAGGCCCCGCTCGCGGCCCAGCGGGCGCTTCCGTGGCAGTCCAGGTCTGAGCCGAGTCTCGGCGACGAGGCTTAGGAGGCAACGGCTGGGAAGTCTTCGTCGGAAGAACCAAAGAGGAGTAAGCCCCCAAAACTGTTACGCCGGATCACGCCACGAATCAAGGTGGTTCAGCCAGATTCAGCGGGATTAATAAGCCCGATCCAAGCCGGATTTCAGACCAGGGCCAAATCAAAATGTGACCTCCCAGGAGCTGCATCCGAGCGAAACTGTCCTGCGGAGCCGCGGTCAGGCGAACGTGGAGAAAATCGGTCGCCACATCGAGCCGCATCACCGATGCATCGGCGATGCGGCGCGATCCGCCGACCCCATCTGGGAGGCCGAAAGCGACGATCGGCTTGCAGAAGGAGCCCCCCAGAGGGCCCCCCACTAAACCAACGAGGCAGCCCTCGAGGCCTCCAAGAGGCCCCCAAGAGGGCCCGCTACAGACGCAGAGCCAAACTCAAGACAACCAGACGGGATCGGAGGAAATTGGCTCACCCCGTTAGCGCCAAACGCTGTTTAAACATCCTCGATCACGGATGACGGTGCAAGCGCCGGCCTTGCCATCCCCACCGGCAGCTACCGCTTCTATTTGCAGCGCTCCGTGCCTGGAGCATCAGAAGGCGGCGTCCAATGTCATAATGTTCACGAGTGCCAGGGTCTTTCGCGGCGCCCTTCTGCTACCCATGTCGCTGCGCTCGTGGAAAGATATCGGCACAAAAACGCGCCTCGAGGAAAACGGGTCCTGGAGTCCGAGGCGCCCGCCTGAACTGTTTGATCTGCATTTTCTTCCTGGGTGGCACTAGCGGGCATGCCTTACACGCTGGGAACCTGCCCACGTAGAGGCCTCCTAGGTGGGGTCCGAGTAGATGGGGTCGGAGTGGCCACATTGCCGATACATCGACGATGCATCGGCGATGCATCGGCGATGCACTGGCGACGTTTCATCGGCGACGTCGGCGTGGAGAAAATCAGGCTCCGCATCGAGCCGCATCGCCGATGAATCGAGGATGCGGCGCGATCCTCCGACCCCATCTACTCGGACCCATCTAGAAGGCCTAGACCACGGCAGGAGGACGCGGCTGTGAGTCGTCTGCCCGGGGACGGCCCGCGCGCAGCATGCAGTGCACGGCGACCGAGAGAGCGCGCGCCGCGAACTGCAGCAGGCAGGCCAGTCGGAGAGGCGCTCCCCGCTGGTGGGCTGCACACCTCGCAGCAATCGGGCCGATCTGTCGGGCTGTCTCGGGAACTGCTGGGCGCTGCAGGGGCCCCTTGCACACCTCGCCAAAGGCGCGGGCCTCGCCTTATGTTGCTTCCATCGTACTTCAGGACCAAATCCCAGAAATAATTTCGAGCACTCAGACAAGTATCGAAACAGTGTCGAACGAATATCGCCTCCCAGGGCCCGACATGTGAAAACCCTCAAATTTCGGTATTTCCTCGGTGCTCGAAATCGTTTCTGGTGATCAAGGCTAAAGTAAGTTAGGACATCTTAAGCCTTGCCGAGACGCATTCGCGAATACGAGCTGCAACGCAAACGCCACTTCAGGCCACAGCTATCACAGTCGTGCCATCGGCAGTACATGTGGGCAACCTTCTGAGCGCGTATGGTTGCACAGGGCCGGCCGCCTCCAGGAGGATCGCCAAAGCTCGGGCGGCTTTCGACGAGCTCCAGCTAGTTTGGCGGAGCGCCAAACTCACGCTGAGGCGGATGCTCGCACTCCTCGGTTCGCACGTCATTTCCAATCTCACCTTCGTACAGCTCAGATCGCGCTGGTTCAAAAATGCCAGGACAAGATCGACGCGCTTCAAGCAACATGCTTGTACAGCACAAAACTTCACTTAGCATCCTGCACTCCATGACTTCTCGTGTCTCACGCGAGGAAGCAAGGCAGCGAGCCAGCAGCGCAAGTCTGAATCGGCGCTCATTTCTCGACAACTGCTGCCGTTCGGAAGAATCTCTACGATGGCGGACGAAGCACTCGGGGACTCGCTGTCTCAGACCGCAGCCCTGGAGACTGCTCGGCGGGGCGCTCGGCGCAGACTGGGCCGCCCGCGCCTCACGTGGAGGGCACCTGCCTGGACGAGGCACGCTTTTGCCCCTCGATGGGGCGACGCGGTCCTGCCCCGTCGCCCCGCGCTCCTCGCAGAGTAGCTGCTCGCACATGGCCAGGACCCGCCGCGGGGAGGTCACGACATACTACACTGCATCGAGGCAAACACATGCTTTTGTTGTCGGACGTTTGCGAGTAAGCACTTTGCGAGTAGAGGAACGCGCTCGATGAATGTCTACCTCATGAACCGCTTCCGACCGCAACCTCGCTCCGTTCCCGAGGCGGCAAGGACAGAGGCCATCTGGGCCAACGCGTCAGCACTGCAGCCGATGTGTCTCAGAGACACAGCGTTCCAGTCCAGTTCCAACGCACCCCGACATCTGACGTTGCGAACGAACACTTCGACATTCGCGAGAAAACGCGACAGGAACCCTGGACCCCGTCTGTGTGCTGCAAGCCTCGCGGCGCCGGATCGATCTGTGAAGGCCCCGGAGCCCGAAGCGGGGCGAAGACGCCGGGCGTGAAACAACGCATGGCCCCAGATCTCAAGGAAGACCAGCGCGCCCCCGCCGTGGCCAGCGCTGAGGCCACAGCCGTGGGCCGCAGACCAGGAGGCTCCCTCTCAGGGCGGAGTGGTGCCGAAGCCGCCCAGCGCGAGCAGCGTGGTGCCCGTTTTTGCCTGACCTAGCGCTCGCGCGCCCACTCCTGGAGGTGCCGGGGTTTTGCCCTCGGCTGCTTGCAACTTTTGTCGGCGGCGAGCTCAGGGGGGAAGTGAGCAGGGGGCGGGCCTTCTCAGAAGGCTCAGGAGTCCCCCCCGGCCTTCTGAAAACTGTTGTAAGCCTTCCCCGAAGGCACACAACACTTCTCAGAAGGCGCGAGGGCTTCTGAGGAGTCCCGCCACCTTCTGAGAAGGCCTTCTCCTTCTCACTTCCCCCCCCCGCTCGCCGCCAGAGGGAGGTGTTTGAGGCTCTTGATGTGTTCCACCTGTGCCACGAAACAAAGAACCGTCGGGGAGACGCACGACTCGGGTTCGGAGGACTTGGGTTGGCCCGACGGGGCCGCGAGGAAAACGACGAGATCCAGCCTGAAATTGGACCCGAACTCCCGCTGCCGACATCCCAACAACGCCGGACCGTCAGAATCCGGAACAGTCTCGTCAATCAGCAGCGGCGAATCCGAGCTCCGGGGGGGGGCGGAGGAAGGGAGGGACGAGGGGGAGGAAGCGGGGTGGATAAGGAGGAGGGTTTGGGTGGAGGGAGGAGGAGGAGGAGGAGGAGGAGGAGGAGCGACCGTACCAAGAAGGAACGAGACGAGGGCAGGCGGGCAAGACGCGAGAAGAGGGCAAGTGTCCGCGTGTCCGCTTGTCTCGTCTATGGCCGCATCGCATGCAGTGCAGCAGCTAGGCACTCAGTGCCTGTAGTGTAAAGAAGCGCGGCGCGGGGCGCGGCGTGCGTAATGATACGCAGTTTGTTGTAGAAGTGAAATGAAAGTGCTGTCCTGCGAACAGCTTCTGAAACTGTGTGCTCTGGGTTTGCGTGTTGCTCTGACGTCCCTAGGCCAATTCGCACGAGGGGGTCCGAGGAGAGAAAGGAACGAGGTAACGCGAGGAAGTGAAGAAGGCGAGGACAGGTGAGGTAGTGGCCGAGACGGTCAGGGCAAGCTTCGCACCCGAGCAGACACGTGCGGCGCGGTCCACATGGGAATCGGTGACTGGTCCACCATGCTCCCGCTAGCGTTTTAAAGACAGCCCAGCGGATGGCTGGAGCTTTCTTTGAAAGGTATTCTGATAGCTCCTTCCAGCGGGTTGGTAGGGCTGGGGGGAGCACGATTTCTGGGAGAGCCGACGAGAGGCGGCGCGCTAGGGTCTCTGCGAACTTGTCGGGGTAGACGGAGGCGTGGAGGACCGAGGCAAGAGTTCGCTGGACCCTAGAGCGGCGCGCTTCGTTGGTGGCAGCAGCGTGCTCGTCTGCAGCGGCTTGTTGCGCCGAGCGCCAGATGGGCAGTGAAACATCGTATGGCGGCTGACCGTCGGCGAGGTCTCGCCAGTATTCCACGATACCTGGACTTTTCCAAAACACAAGCGAGATCGTGGCCCGAATACGGGCCTGCCCCAAATCCGCCAGAGACAGTTCTGGGTTGAGCTGGTCCTGGGCCAGGACGAGAGCGCGATACAGCGGCTTCCAGTCGGGAAGCGTGGCAGTGGCGGCGCGCCAGG